GTGTATGTGTGTGTATTTGTATATGGCGGTCGGTTCAAAATACAATAGCAGTTCTACTCAATGATGTCATATCGTCAGTACTTACAGTGAATATCGAAACGCACCCTGTAATGGCTGACACAGAGACACGTAATAAAGACACGTTCTTCCAATATATAGTGTTCGGTATTAATGAACCTATAACACTAACTGATGGAAAGATGGGTAGATAATTCACAAAATCACAAAAATTTGTAGTACCCCATTTCATCTTAAACACAAGGGCATCCTTGACAGTTTTTGGACTCCAATTAAATCGACCACGAATAGACTGCCTTTTTAGAGACGCAATCTGGTCAGCACGTATCCTTGATGTTAAGTCGAGAGACTTTGCATTCTTCTGTTCTAAGCGCCACAATCTACACTTATATTTTTCATAAATAGACTTAACAGTATGGAATTTTTTTGTTATTATTTTTCCTATGGTAGTCAGACGCTTATTGTTATGTTGTAAGGTTTTTATTTCTTCCTCTTGTTTTCTCAGCTGATCTTGTAATTCTTTAATTATTATTGATGATGGACTTGCAGTAGATGGAGGTATATGAATGGGTTCAGAAGCAGCACAAATATCGGCCAAAATAGTTAGCCGGTTGAAATCATCAGTACCATGGTCTGCAATGCAAGGTGCAGAAAGTTCATGACTAATTTCCTTTGGAAAGTCCATAACAGAGAGGTCATGAAAAGAAGTAAAAGAAAGCTCTTGGTTTTTATCCTGATATGGCACACCTTTTATTACAATGTTATTTGTTTTGGCTATTACTTGGCTTTCTGTAACTTGAATGGACTCTGATGGCTCATATTGAATTGAGGTACAGCCATGATCATGAGGTAAGCGGTTTAATTGTGTAGTGAGATCTCGAAAGAGATGACGCTGATGTACGTCAATAACATATCGATGGTCATGCATTGCAAGAGAGATGTTTTCATTATTTTCTATAGCCAAAGATATTGCAGAAGATCGTAGCACTCTGAACCCATCTGCACGTACTTTTTTCCACTGTGATGCATCAAAATGATTCTGAAATTGTGCCAAAATTAATCAATGCATTATGTGTAAATATGTCACATATGTGAGGAGTAATAAAAATATCTCACCTCACAAATGTAGCTGGAGACTCCAGGATAACATATTGTCTGTCCAATCTTCGACACCCAAACAGAACGTCTCTCAGGATCTTTAGGAAAGCGAAAGTTTTCCCTGTCCCACCCGAACATTGCAGCCCTTTACTGCACACGTACGGACCATTTCAACTGTATATAAAAAAACAGTAGTATAATTACAGTCGTATAAGATTTTAATGTAAGTAAATACTTAGGTGATAAACATATATACATTAAGTAATGACAATGCAGAGACACAAACTAACCTTATATTAAATGTGTTTATTAAATCTGTTCAATGTTTATAATATTATGTGTTAACTGACATTGGAAAAAGGGACCCATAATAATATAATAATATTACATATTACGTAAAATAAGATTTTACCTTATAATTTCTAACAGTCTCCTTCCGTATATATGTACGTAGCACTGCATAGCTCGCTGTTTGTATATGGAGCCCTATGGTACACAAAATGGCGACTAAACCACGTGACTCAGTTGACCAATCAAAAGGAGATCGCTAATGTCGCTTCTCTGATTATAGGACTCTACGCTGATGCAAACTTTGGCCCATTGTCTGTTTCTAGAATACGTGGCACACCGTGTACAGAAAACCAGCGTTTGAATGCTGTCACTGTCTGACATGTATCTGTTGGGTATACTAATGTGAAGTCGTAGAAGCCTGAATAACTATCCACAATCACAAAATTGTTTACCCTTTATACTTGCGAAATCAGCTACTACAATTTCCTAAGGTAGTTTTGGTACTTCCTTTAAGATCAGTAGTTTTTTATCCGGAATTCGTTGTGTCTTTTGACAGGCAGTACATTTGTTCACATAGTCCTCAATATCATTGTTCATTTTTAGCCAAAACATCACTTCACGTGCTCGATGTAACATTGATTGTATCCCTATGTGACCCTTATGTGCCAACTGCAAATACCTGGCGTGTAGTGACGTAGGAATCATTGGTCTGGAGTTCTTGAAAACGATGTCATCCATCACCGTAATTTCGTCTCGATAATTCCAGAATTGTCGTAAGGGGTAATCTAAATCCTTTTCATTTTCTGGCCATCCTGTCATAAGCGTCCTTTTGAGCGACGCCATTAAAGGATCCGCATTGGTTTCCCGCCTTAATTGCTCTAGGGCTGTTTGTGAATACGGAATAACGACACATACTTCAATTTCTGTTTTGATTTCTTCTTCTACTTGATGTCTTCTACAGTCTCTACTTAACGTGTCTGGCAGGGGTATGTCTTTGCCCGGTACGTATTTGACTGCTGGAGTATACTGAAGGACGTAAAAAAAAATTCTTTGGAATTGTGGTGGTTGGTTGGCCAAAACCTTCTTGCTAATAAATCCTAGCGGTTTGTGATCGGTAAGTATCGTTAAAGTTTTACCATAGATAAAATCATGAAACTTAAAACATCCGAACCGAATTGCAAAAGCCTCTTTCTCCAATTGTGGGTATCGCTGTTGCGTTTCTGTTAAGGCTTTTGTTGCGTACGCGACTGGCTGATTATCTTGTAATAACACAGCACCCACTGCTGTGGAACTGGCATCTACCATTAATGTGACAGGTTTCAACGGATTATAATATGCGAGTTTTTAATACCTCTTTGATCTTGTTAAAAGCTTCTTCTTGTTCTGCGTCCCAATGCCATGTTGTGTCCTTTGTTAATAATTGTCTTAACGGCTCGGTGATTCCAGATAAGTTTGGTACAAACTTAGACAGGTAAGTAACGGTACCTATAATACGGCGTACTCCTTGAACATCTTCCGGTCTTCTTAGCATCTTAATGGCCTTGAGCTTTTCCGGATCCGGTTTCAAACCTTCTACGGTCATTGTGTGACCCAAAAAACGGTACTGACGTTTTCTCGAATAAACACTTATCCTTGTCAAGCGTAGACCAGCTTCATATAATCTTTGAAGAACTTGATTTGTCACTTCTCGCAGCTTTTCTAGTGTCGATGCGTAGACTATGACATCATCCATCGATGTTTCCACACCGTCAATTCCTTGTAAGATTTTCGTCATCATTTCTTGAAAAATCTCGGGAGCTGACTTAATACTAAAGGGAATTCGTAGAAATCTATATCGGCCCCATGGTGTATTTACTGTCAAGTATTTAGAGGTCCTTTCCGTCACCTTGATTTGCCAAAATCCTCGAGCGCAATCAAATTTCGTGAAATATTTCGCGCCAGACATTTTGGTGGAGATATCTTCTAGTGTTTTAAGTGGAAAATGTCGCCTCTTGATTACCTTGTTCAGATCTGACGGATCAATACATGGACGTATCTTGAAGATACTATCTTCCCTTTGCTCTTCACAATTACTAGCGGGCTCACTGCTGGGGTTGGCTCAAACACTGGTTTGATCACGCCTTGCTGCACCATCTTGTCGAGTTGTTTCTTGACTTCTTCCTTCAACGAAAATGGTATCCTGCGAGGTGGGTGAATTTTTAGTTGCGCTCCTTCCTCCAGTTCCATATCATATTCGTATCCTTTTACGCAGCTTAACCCCATGAATAGTTCATTCTTTATGTCTTCAATAGTGGTTGTGGATGAACCACGGACGCTGTGTGTCAACTTTGTCAGAAGGTTTGATCGTCAAGGCAAAAATCACGGTTTGAATTAACGACTTCTTGCTGATTGTTCCACGTATAAAATTTATTCACGTTAGGCTGAGGCGAGCGGTAGTTTGAGTCGATTGGAGACCAGGGAGACGTCGATTACAAGCGGAGGCGCGCACTGCACCTGCTATCTTCGGTATCGGTCGACACGTTAAGCTGCGATTTCATTGACGCTAGAAACCAGCGTCAAATATAGTCACGTGACTAAATTTGACGCTCGTCTGATGGAGAAAGAAGTAAGCGGCAAAACGTGCGCGTCGTGAAACCGCCGCTTTTGACTTGCGATAACAGTTCGTCCCCAACAAGGTCATGTTTGTCTGAGTATTTTGAACATAATGGCCTTCATGCAGAAATATCGTACATGGGTGACAGAACGTGCGAGGCAGTTGAATAATGCTCAAGAGGAACAACTCCTGAATGACATGCTACTAATTGTCATTGTGCATGAAATATTGCGGACGAACTCAGAGGAGAAAAAGAAACGGATCTACACAAAAAAGCGTTTTTGGGTACATCCTATATTTAGATTGAGAAATAAGTATGGGTTTTACCATGCAATATATCCAACTCTATCGAGGTATAACCCTAAGTTTAAAAACTATATGCGGATGTCATTATCGCAATTTGAGGACCTGCTGCATTTGGTTGCACCTCATATCACAAAACAGACTGTGACTCGAGATCCCATACCTGCTGCAGCACGATTATCTCTGACATTAAGGTAAGCTGGATATGTTAAATCGAACGTGTTCTTTCCATAAGGACAATATTACATACAGAATCTTTTTTTCAGATACTTGGCTACTGGTGATTCAATGAACTCCATGTCATATCAGTATCTTGTTGGAACTACGACAGTGTCAAACATTATTACCGAGACATGTGCAGCATTATGGGATTGCCTTGCTAAAAAAGTGCTTCCTTTTCCATTAAGTAAGGAAGATTGGCTCAATATCGCACAAGATTTCGAAGATTGCTGGAATTTTAATCACTGCATTGGCGCAATTGACGGAAAACACGTTGCTATTCAGGTATTTCTTTTATTTGACATTATCTAATAATGGCAACTGGCGAGCTAGCTATATAATTCTATTTGTTTTAGTGTCCTCATAATGCTGGCTCTTTATATTACAACTACAAGAACTATCATAGCATTGTACTGCTCGGAATATGTGATGCCAACTACATGTTTACGTTCGTCGACATCGGAGCTTATGGCAGACGTAGTGATGGCGGAATTTTCTGAGATTCTATTGTGGGTCAGAAATTTTATAATAGAGAAATGGGATTGCCAGAACCTAAGAAACTCACGGTCGATGGTGATCCTATGCCATATGTTCTTGTTGCCGATGAAGCATTCCAGTTAACTGATTTCATGCTAAGACCATATCCAGGAAAAGGAGGACTTAATCACGAAAAAAACATCTATAATTATCGCCTCAGTCGTGCTCGTAGAACAATCGAGAATTTTTTTGGAATTCTTGTGAGTCAATGGAGAATATTGAAAAAGCCTATTGACGCAACGGTAAAAAATACAATGCAAATTGTCCAGGCCATTATTTGCATTCATAATTGGCTTCGAAAACAGGATTTAGACGAAAACGAATATATTTCTGCGGACATGATTGATCACGATGGACCTAGTGGTTTTATTCCTGGAAATTGGAGGAAGGAAATTGGTAGTAGTCATGCCTTGAGAGATCTTGGTAATTGTGGCACTAACAATTCTTCTCGAGATGCCATGAACATCAGGAATGAATTTTGCGATTATTTTAACGGCGAGGGTGCTATACCCTGGCAGTATCTTCAATAGCAGTAATTAAAATTATCATCATTATGTTTGATTTTTTTGACATTTTAATTCAATCAAAATTGTATATATAAGTCATTTAATTAATCATAAGTAGACTACACTAATACTTATTTATATTATATTAATAAAATTATTCTTATACCGCTTTTTAAATATGTATTACACGTGTATCGTCATAATATACGCAACTACTTACATCCATATTTTGAAGAAAAAAATAAAAAGATCTAAAAAAATTTAAACAATATATTATATAACTATAGAAGTCTATATAACTATAGATTTATTTATTTTGTTAAAATAAAAAAATAAAAAAATTTTTATAATTATGCTCGTATAAAAAAATATAAAATGTGTTGTCGGAATCTTCTAAAACATCCAGCTGAAAAAAACTTAGTTATTATTCCTTTCTTCCTGTAGTCTGGAGAAGGTCATTTGGACAATATCATGTAGAGTTCGCATTTGTAGTTGAGGCGACATTTTGCGCAAATGTAATGCTGCTGTTTGTAGCATATGATCCACCTCATCGAATGAATCATCTATATTTGGTGGTGCAACATTTTGCGCCTTTTCTCGTCTCTCAAAAATTTGGATTAGTTTATTCAACAGATTCGTAGAACCAACTGAAATATTGCTATTAATAGTGGAATTGGTATTGAGTCTTCGTCTTTTTCCACTCGTAAAAGTACTTGATAAGGTTAGCGCTGCAAACAAATTTTTATATTAGTTATAGTTGATATAAAAAAATAATAATAATAAAATCATACTTTCTGTGCTACTACTGTCATTTGGATCTATGTCAATCGGACTTTCTACTTGAGAAGTTGACTGGTCCACCGATAATAGCTCGTTCTTTGTGCTAGGAATATTACTCGACGTGCTACAATAAATGAACAAAGTAAAAAATTACAGAAACAAATTGTGGAATTACAGTAATTTTATCGCTGTTTAATGATGTTCCTGGCACAAAGAATGAGCAATTTTAGAAATTTGGTCAAATAGTTAGCCTCAAGTGTAAAGTCTGTTTGACATAAACAACATATGCAGTAGCTGGGATAGTATAATGGTTGTTATTATTATTGCTATTGTTAGAAAATAATTTAATAATAATAATAAATAATAAATAAATAAATTAAAAATAAATATAGTTGGATTATTATTATTATTATTAAATAATTTTCAAATAATAGCAATAATAATAACGGAACCATTATACTACCAGAGAGCTATTGTTGTCCATGCCATACAGAATTTGTAATTTGTACTTGATCTTGAAACTGATGTCTACTATTGTGTTGTGCCAGGAACATTACTTTATAATAATAACAAAAATCAGTTACTTACTCCTTCGATAGACTGGTATCACGAAGAAACTCCATTATGTTATAATGCTTCCACTTGTGACGGTCCTCATTTTCATTCCTTCCAGATCCACTCGGAAGGTACTGCTCTGACTGGACAATTTTGCGATATGTATCGCGTAATGATTTAAATTTCTGCTGTACAGCAGTTGCGTCGAGTACACCTAGAAAAATCAGATTTTATCATATCCAACTAATCCAACTGTATAATATATTTATTTATTTACCATTCAATTCATCAGCAACTTCTTGCCAGAGTCGTTTCCGGGTTTCCTTGGATCTCCGGTCCACCGGTTGACTAATGTCCCACAGAGGCCTTCTATGTTGGATAGCCAAAATTAAATGTTCTTCCTCTTCTACCAACAATTTCTTTGAGGCCTTTCTTTTGGAAGGAGTTTTAAAATTTTTACTGCCAACAGCATTTTCTTTAGATTGACAGCTGGAGTTCGCTAATTGGCAATTTCCTGCCACGACTAAAATTAAGTGAAAAAGTATTCGATTTTATTGTAGAGGAGCAGGAGAGTTTATTATTGTGTCAATTAATCCATAACTTACGTATATGCTGGTTGAAGGTTGCACCAATGTTGACCTCAATTATTTGCTCTACGCCGTCAATGTAGGCACGGCGTAGGCACGTTTTTCCATCATCTACAAACAAAATTATTATTTTAGTGAAATACACCTACAATGTAATAAAATGTACTTATAGTAGATAAAATATATACTTAAAAGAGGGTAAAAATAGCGTGTTGCCTCATCGACATAACACCCAAATCCCTCCAGACATGCGTGGCCGTCCACATCGGCGACGCACAGTGGAGTATTTTATAATAAAAGTTGGCCAAAATTATTTTAACAGTTTTATCGACATAAAATAAACTTTTACTCAGTAAATGATGATCAATAACAATTTATAATATTTATTCTAATTTAAACACATATTTACTATAGTGATATTAATATAATTTAAATTTAATCGAAATCTTCTAATTCAGATCCGTTTTCTTTTTCTTTGTCGTCTATCGTATCATCTTCAGTGACTGATGTCAACTCTTTGGGACATAAAAGAGCTAACGTTTCGCTAAATATACAAATATATAATATTTTGATAAAAAAAACAGTAATATTTAAACGAATTTTTAAATACATTCGAGGATAGATGTGGAAGTTTTTTTTGTTTTAATAGATTCTTAAAAAGCTAAATTTTAATTATTTTCAAAGTTTAGCACTCGACAACGCCTGACACATAACCTAAAATATTGAGAAAAATGTATTATGAACTAAAGAGTGCATAAGAGTACCATTTTGTAAGAATTCATACCTTTACATTGTTCGTCCATT